AATAAAATATGTGCCTCAAAAAATGTGATTTTTGTAATCTTATCTTAGACATTTTTATATTTATACCTTTTGCATGTATATTACAATGTGTGCTTTGTTTTGTGAGTGTTGTTTGACGAGTTAATGATGATAATGATGATGATGAAGATGATGATGATGATAATGATGATGATGACGATGATGATGATGATGATGAAGATACTGATGAAGATGATGACGATTATGATGATAAAAACAATGATGATGGCGAAAACGATAGTAATGATTTTGTTTTATTTTAGGGATTGCACCCCCAGCACTGCGTTCGTGTGCTGAAGTAAAAGCGGCTGGTTTCACACAGACTGATTCTTATCTTCTTGATCCAGACGGTGATGGAGGTGAAAGTGCATTCTGGGCTTATTGTGACCTGGATGTCTATGAGGATGAGGGTAAGGCCTGTCTACTAAGATAAAGGAAAATTTCGTTCACAGGCCAAACATGTGAAAAATTCTTAAATGCTGCAAGATCTCATTGAACATCTTAATTACTTTGGTTTCTTCATTGGCTCCTATGACAAATTTTCGATGGCTATCTTCTGGCAAATTATGTAACTGAAATTCTCTAACATCATAAGATCTTAAAACATAACATCTTAAAGTCAGGCTCTGGAGGGAAAAAAAACAATTGATATGTTATACAACCGATTTTTCCAAAACACAAGCATAGGCCTATTTGACGAAAAAATCGGAAACAGTTATACAGATTTTTTCACTACCTGACTTCAACACATCGAAAACATCATTACATCTACCTAATAATGTAAATAAGAAAATACTGGAAAAAGTTAAAGACGATGAACAATTTTATCCATGAGACTGTAACATAAGATAAGAGGTTTGGTAGGCGAGACTTATTTCTATATACGAAATGTAAATTATTAATGCCGTATTCAACATATATCAATATTTAAGCGTAGAGATTATACTTGGATGTCCATTCCTTCCATGCTAGGCCTACATTTTTATGTCCACTTTTTTATTTCGTAATGATGCTCTAAAACTTTGTTATTTTATAATATTGAACTCATGGATATAAATGCCTTTCTGTGTCAATCAATGACCTTCAACATGCCTGATCTTTATGCGGGATTATTTAAAAAAAGTAAACCTACTGATTAATTATTTTAAAGGGTGTTTTTATCTTTAACTATAGTTTATGTGTGAGCCAATTTATCTGTGGTATCATAATATTGCAAACAAATTACTGAAATACTGACACACTGTACTTTCTGTATATCAAGTTGTTACCGTTGTATTTCACGATACTCCGTATCGGACGTATGTACATGGATATTCTGATCCCAAGTTCCAGCGAGTACTCACCTACCCTGCAACCGATACTCAGCTGCGCATGCTTACTGAAGATTCTAGCTACTGTCAACAGTATGTTGATGTAAGTTGCCGGTTCTCTTTGTGTTTTCATATTATTATATCGTGAAAAAAATGGGGAAACCGTAGGTTTATGTTCGTCCGTCAGACAGACAAAGCTACATCCCCTGCACCCCTACGTCGATCATGACTCGTCGGATGGAATAACAAAAAAAAATGTTCTAATTTTAAAAACCTGTGTCTAATAATAAGTTCTAAAACGCTCAGAACAGTTTATTCATTCTTGGTCTAATATTAAAATATGCTCAGTCAGCCTATAAGAGTTTGTATGTTGACAACACATAATATTGACTGTTAACCCGCCTATCACATTACTTTGCAGATTGATTGTTACCATAACGCATTTATCACAAGCTGCCATTGGATCTCAATTAATGGAAATGAAATACTAAATTGGGGAGGTGTGGCTAGTTATTCCCACGCGTGCCCATGTTCAATAGATGGTACGTTAAAAAACTTATTTTATGGTTTATGTGTACGTTACTGTCAATGTTACAGCATAGAGTTGACATGCACTATATTTTATTGTGTATTTCTAAGTCAAAAAAATTGATAACGATAAACACCCAATAAATGATGGTAATTGGTTCTTAATTATTTGTTTAGTGGTAGGCCTATCCATAAATCCACCCTGCTGCACTACTATACTAGGCGTTTTTTTCGTTTTGACTACTCGGCCAGTCTACTCTACGAACTAATGGAGCGTGACGCAACGCCAAGACGCTGTTTGCGTATTACAAACAAGAGCTGTTCTCGGATTAGGGCGACTGCGACGTAGGGAAAAGGGTTAGTCGACCATGGCAGGGTGGCCAAAGAATCCAGTGATCTGATTGGTCAATATTAGAGTAGTCGCCACTACGCCAAATTCGAAAATTCCAGTCAAAACGGATACCAATGGCGTATCTAGGAGTTTTGAAATGGGACTTCAGTAATATAATATGATATAATATGATATGATATAATATAAAATTATGTATTATACAATATAATATATGATATGATATATGCCTAATATAATATAGTTTTGCATCTTAAGGATCATGTTCTAGTAGCAGTTACTATTGCAATTGTGATGAGAATGACTCCACGTGGCGTGAAGACAAAGGCTACATCTTTAACAAGGAAGAACTACCAATGAAAGAGATTTTAATAGGGGACACAGACGACTCTTATGAAGAACTTTACTTCAGAGTAGGACCACTGGAATGTAAAGGTGTGAAATTGCCATTTTGAATAATAATCTTATTGTTTTTAATGTAGTTTGTGAGAATTTATCAGTGTCTTCTTTGAATGTTATTCCTTTAGTTGAATATGTATTTTATCTGTAATAAGTACTTTAAATTTCTATGTTTTTATATGTATATATCCATCGTGTTGGGATTCAATATTTCGACATTAATTATGTCATCATCAGGAATGAAAAAATTATCCATATTAGCAAGCTTATATGCACTAGTACCAAATGTGTTTAACCAATCAAAACATTACCTCTAGTAGGTGACATAGCAGTGATTTAAACAAAAGATCAAAGCACTCTTACTCTAATGATCAAAGCTATTATTATACTTTCTTATCTGAGATTAATCAGTGGACCTTTCGGTTTATTATTATAGCTAGTGTTGCTTTTCTTTTTGGTTCAATATTATAATTACATAATATTTAGGTGATGCACAGAGTACGATTACTCGTGGAAACTCGTGCTACAAAGTGATGACTGAAGCCGTTACGTGGCAAGAAGCTGCAAACTCATGCCAACGCATGAACGCACATCTAGTCACCATTGACGATGATGATGAACGCGTTTACCTGACCAAGTTAACGCAAGCACTCGTCCCTTTATCGTCGTTCTGGTCTGACGCTGAATGTTCACCTGTTTCCGCTGGTTTAAGTTTTAGTTGTGACGCTCTGATTGGTTATGTGTGCGAAGGTGATCGTGAGTATTGCTTTTTTTGCTAATAAATTGTATAGCTCCTCGTCTATATTCAAAATAATGAAACTATAAATTATATCAGAAGAGGAAACAAAATGAAAGTCAAATAAGCCATCATTTTCTGTTTTGGATTCTTTATAGGTGTCTCCAGGTTAAAAAAGTGGGGACTGATTTTTTAAACTAATACAGTATTATATTTCTGTGTTTCTCCATTAATGTCACTTTTTCGTCGAACTTGAAATGATTATTTTTTAGGAATAGATCTAATTGATATAGGCCTATTAGAAAATATGTAACTTTGCAACTATTTAACTAGGATCGTTGTCTTAATTATCATATTCAGTTAACGTGTATGTACTGAATGATGCATATAGACTATAGCCCTATGTACGTAGGCACGTATGTATGTGAGACCCCACAGGAAATCCTCACGGACCCACAGGAAATTTATTGAAAAAAAGATACATTAAAAAAAGTTCAAAACTAATCACTTTATATCACCATATTTTCTCAGCAGCGACGGTGGCTCCAGAAATTTGCCGATTAGGAGTCCGGCTTGGCCGACGAGGGGGGGGGGTGTGAGTTCGAACTAAGGGCCGACCTCTAACGTTATTTGGATAGGCAAAATATAATATTTTTAATCTTTGATCCGACGACCTCGTCGTTCCGTCGATCGGACAACGGGAGGAGCACTCCTGTCCGACGGAGGAATTCCCCTTCCTCCGCACCCCTTACATGCACTTAAATCCTCGGCCTTCACTTAATCTTACCAATAAATACTTCCCTCATACGCCACTGTTCAGACTGTAATCCTTCCGTTATGATACTTTTTGGTGTAATAATTTATATATTTTATGTCCTATGAAATAGTCTCCGAGTACAACCATTTCAAGAAGTTTGGATCTGACAAATCACCACTAGAGGGCTCACTTCTATCGTCAAAGACAGCAATCAGTTCTGGGGCATGTAGTTTGCATTGTGAACGGTCTGCAGTCTGCAATTCTTTCTCGTACAATTCGGAAACTCATGAATGCAAGATGAGTAGTGAAAGAACCGACTCAAATGCCGTTTCAGAGAACGGTTTTGATTTGTTCATATTAGAGACGACATACAAGGAATGTCAAATGCATCTTGGATGGATTTAAAAACTGTGTATTTGTATAAGTACATTATAATCGTGTTTTTCGTTCATCATTCAAGATTCAAGATTCTTTTATTGTCTGAAATAAAACTCAGAAATTGCAATCACTGGCAAGGTAACAGTTGTTAATATCATATAATAAATAAAGAAACAATTACAAAAATATAGAAACTATTTAGCACCAAACAATATCTAGTCAAGATGAACATACAAAGAAAATTAAATACAATTACACGTTAAACTTAAACTAAACTTAAACTTAAACACATAAACTTACTACTGTACTACTAATTAAAACTAAAAATTACCTATTAATATTGTTATTATAAAGGTGAATGGAGTTGGGAACAAAGGAGTTTCTATAACGGCAACGTGTGGTGGGTGGCACATTTAGACGGAAACCTGAGTTGTTAAAAGTAAATTCATTATGTAGTGGATGAGT